TCCCCCCTCCGTCTTTGTTTGTTTAATCTTTTGGGCTCACTGCTCATAAGAGGGGGAGCTTTGCTCCCTTTAGGAGTTCACCCAATGTAACTGCAACCTCAGCTGGTTTTGGGTGAGGTAGACATACTTCACTTCAGGAGATCCTGGATTATCACCCCCTTCTGCCAGCAGACACCTTGCAGAAGGGTCACTGCTGGTGGTGTAGGAATGGGTTCGTGCATAGCAACAGCAGAAACTTGCCTGCAACCCCACCTCATCCTCCAGCAACTTTGGCACTGTCACAGCCTGCCATATACTCCTAACACCCTTAACGTTCATGCAGAAGAACCAGTGCCTGACCCCAGTGCCCCCAGCCAGGCTCCAAGCCCCCTGAGGAACATATTAATCTTACGTTCAGAGTCTTCTCCTTTGAAGTAGCCGATGAGTTTGATTTCCTCGTCAATTTGGTCAAACGCCTGAAGCTCCAGCTTGTTGTTTATGATCTCCACGGGGTCTTCTAGCAGCTGCCAGGACAAATGCATTTGATAACACAACGATTTGCAGCACCAACCTATGCCTGGCAGGGGGTGTCACTAGCAGCCTAAGTGGGGAGAAAGAGGTCACCCAATTTCTCTGCTGCAGGAAACCCTACTTAGTGCTCTCTGCCTTAATTTGATGAACTGAGGGATGCAGGTCACCTTCAGAGGGAGCCGTTAGTAGGTTCACTGGATAGGTTGAAGCATCAAGAGGGAAGCTGAGCGAGGTCTGAGTACTCCAAATGGATGCTGAGGGACCTGCTGTGATGTGAGATAAGGGCTAGCGATTGCAGCTGGCTTTAGAGAGTCTGAGAAGAAGGGAGAGCAGTTGAAAGGAGCTGGTATGGGGACTGAACTTCTGTGAGCGATGGATATACTTGTTTTGAAGTGTCATTTGCTGGAGGAGGTGATTGCAAAGAACTCGCTTTTGGAAAACATTAAACCCAGCATGCTAGAGGGTGGCCAAACAACGTTTTGGAGCACTGGAAAGTCTGTGGATGTGAATTTTCCTGGCTGATTCTCCTATGCATAATGGGTTAAACCCATGCTTTGTCCCCAGACACCGTCACAGTGTCGATGAGGAAGTTGGAAGACCTATCTGCTGCTTCAGCTTGTTGTTGATCCAAACTTTGTTTCTGTTTTCTTAGCCAGCCACTGCTGGTGAAAAGATTTGATTTGATTATTTTGCCCAGAAATTCCAGTGTAAATCAGGCATGGTTTCACTAAGGGGAAAAAAAAAAAAAAAAAGCCACTGTACAGCCTACAGAGGAGTAGGGGACTTCTGGGTTTGTTTTCCTTTGAGATCAGGCTGCTGAAGCACCACAAATTTGTTTGCTCTTATTTCCCTGCTTTGCTGGGTATTTTCCTTCGAGTGGAAAACACACAAACAGAAGTACTTGCTCCTTCCTGTGTTCACAGAACATAGTTTTTTCAGTGGCACAACACAAAGCACAGCAAGTAAAACCTCTCAAAGCCTTTCGCTGCACCCTTTGTGAGCGATGCTCTGGCTTATGGCTGTGTCCCCGCTGCATCCAGAGCAGTGTGGGCAGCTCCCTGCTGCCATAGTGGCCTGAGCCACAGAAACCAGGGATCCCACCACTGCCGGGGTCACAGCAACATCCTGCCCCATCTGTGGCCCTCCTGGGTGGGGCAGATGCCCGCTTCTGTCCCTGAAGCCATTTGCATGCGTTTTGGCCACAATACCTGATGCGCGCAGCCACAGACACATTGCCGTAGGAGAGCTGAGGTCCTAGGGAGCTGTTTCTCTCCCCTGGCCGTGCCTTTCGCCACTGGCACTCCTGCACCTCAGGTGACCATTTAGGCAACCTGCCACCCTGTGAAACAAACCCTGCCGGCTCCGTTGCTCGCCTTACCTCCCTTATCTGCATTATTGCACGGCTGCTCTTAAGGGGAGCCTCATTTCAAAGGAAAGCCAAGTCACTGCGAAATGTTTTCACTACAAAACAATGACCGTGGTTTTGGGCTTTTGGAATAAAATGTAAAGAGAAGTGCAACACGTTAATGAGAGAGTCAGCATCTCTTTTGCATTTAGGTGCAAGGGTGAGTGCATAGTTGTGCCTGTGCACAAAATGACCCAAGACCACTAAGTCCTAGGGTCTTCTCTAACTCATGGCAGTGCATTCAGTAAGTTCACTGAAGAGGCAGTAGTACACTACATTGTTTGTGCTGTTGTGTCTAGAAATGGGCAAATAGTTTGCAGCATATACCTTTTTCAATGAATTGAGCTCTTTTTAGTTGCTCTATGAGAATGCTACTTCTTGGATTTATTTTTTTTTAATAACTCTTCTTTAAAAAAAACCAAACACTGAAGGATTTTGCAAACGGCAAAGTGTTTGCACATCAGCTTGCTAACTGAGGCGGGTGACTAGCAGTTAGTTATATGAGATTGTTGCTTGCTTCCAATCAAATACTCCGTAAACAGGAGAGCAAAATGTCTTTAAGATATAAGTGGTTGGTGGCATAGAAAAGTACCAGCTTTCCTGGGAACTCATGGTCAGACAAGTATTTGGGAAGCTGGCAAACAACATCATCTCTTCCAGCGTGCAGCAAGCAGGAGTGGAATTTCAAATAAAGATAACCCTGTGTTTTTTAACAAAGTATTAGCAAGGCCTCTCAGAGGTTTTATCTGGCTCTGTGCTTATCTGTGCTTACATCCAAGAGGAATTCCACCAAGACATCCGTGGCCAGTTCCCCATCAAATTCAATCAACCGCTCCTCCTTAAAGACGTAGAGACTTCCCTCTTCAACCAACCCTGCAAAAACGAGACAATAAACATAATGTGGTCAACATGCCACTAAAAGCATTTTTACTACAGAGTATCTTGCTTGTTATTCTGCAACACCTCCTTGGAAAATGCAGTTCCCAATTCACTGACTTAGTCCAGTTAGAAACAACCTGAACAATCTCCTGACTGATGTTTCATGGCACAAGGGACAGACCTCAGGCAGAACTAGTGCTAGCTTCCTCCCAAATATTGAACTTTTTCGTTCAGGTCGCAGTTTGGCCTCAGTTGAAAAAACTCTGTACCGGGAACTTGTTTTAGCTTGGCTATATATATTGCAGTAAATAGTACTGGGCTCTAACTGACATCCCAAATTTGAACAACCTGACGCTAGATAGAAAATGGATTTTGATGTGGGTTGTGCTCTCTGCCCAGAGACGACTGAACTATGGGAACATAAACAGTGAGCTGGAAAACAAAGTGAGCTTCCATCTCTCTGCAGCTTAGCTAGCCTTGCAAGAGGGTTAGAAACCTATGGTAGAGAAGCCACAGATGGCAGGCTGTCAGATTTGAATGGTGTTTCACTGGACTGAGGACTGGTTGCCACAGCATCTCAGTGGAGGCTCCAAAATCAGCAGCACTAAGCTCCCGCAAGGGTACCACGGGTCAAGGTGGTTGGTAGTTTGTTCCTTCTTGAAGAGGCAGAAGCTTTCAGTTTTAGTTTAGCTTCCACCAGCACACTTAGCCTCTAATTTAGGAAAGAAAATTACAGTCCAGTATGCCTAAACACCCTCTGACCTTCAGTGTAGTGGTACATTTATGTGCTGTTGTATTTATGTCCCATAGTGGGACTAAAATATGAAGGAATTGCCAGCCCCTGGAAGGCAGCTGTTTCCAGGGGTGGACAATGCAGCAGCCTTTCACCTTTACAGGAAATTTCCTCTTCTGCTCTGGGGACCAAGTCAGAAGGGTTAGTGGTTGCCAAACCATTGCAAGGCTGTGGCTCCCCAATTAGTAGCTGGGGAATCACTCTGCCATGGGGCTGGTGACATTTGGGGGCCTATGTGATGTCCCTGTATGTTTTGGTTCTGCGCTACTGTGTCAGACCTGTCTCTGTGCAGGAAGAGCATAGAGTTATTCCATGTCAACTATCTACAGTTTCTGCTCAGCAAGCTGTGAGCTTCCACCCTCTCATTGCTATGGCATGAATTGGCTTTCTTTTTCACTTGGTTTGGTACCCTGTCAGGAAGCTTTTTGCTGGAAGGTTGTTGACTCATCCCTCTCATCTTCACCCCCCTACTTGACCCTGCCCATGTTGGGGTGGGCAGGTGGTCAGTGTGCACTCACCACCATCACCCTCCCCATCCTGGTGACAAAGATTTGACTGTCCTCTATGGGGCTGGCTGTTGGGCATCACTCCAACACCCTCTACAAGCTATTCCAGAGATATCAGATATGGGACTCACCTAGCTTTTTAGCAAGTTTGGCATCCTTCTTGGAGTCCACCATCCCAAAGCCGATGCTCCTGGGCTCCAGGACCTGAGCTGCCAGCTGTGGGAGGAACCAGAGAGCCCAACGTTAGCGGCATTAACACCACAGGGCAGCTAAAGGGCATCATGCCCTGCTAGCAGGGCACGACAGACACAAGTGACCCATATTCTGCTTTCAGGCAGCACCAAGGGGTGGGACGCGTCACATGCTGCCTCCCTGCTGAGATAACACTGCCCAGAGGTCACAAGGGTTGGATTTCTTCCCACTGTGTCGCATCACTGAGTTTGCTGGTGATACCACACGCTACTAACTGCAGTTTGACATTTGGGCATTGGGAGAGGGCTCCTGGCTGAACCAGGGCCACCAAAAAAGCAGTGAGCATGGCTAGGAGAAAGACCTAACACTAACACAAAGCAAAAGTTGTCTCCTCCCTCATGCCTCGGTGGTCTCCCGCAAGGGAGCATGGCATGTAGGCACTGTGGGTATTTTAACTCTGGAAGTGTTTGGTGCAGGCAGCACTGGCTGCAAACTGGGGGGGATGCAGGGCACTGCAGCATTGTGTTTCCTTCGTACATGTAATGGGCTGGCCAAACCAGGCTCCCAGCAAAACAAAGTGGAGAGACTCCCGGCTTTGCGAAAGCTGCCCCTTCTCCTATAAAATGCTTTAAGTCATGTCTCCTGTTCAGGTTTCAGCCACCCGCCAGTTCCTGGTCCCCTCTTTTTCCTACAGAAATGTGTCTAATCTCAGCCACGCTTGTGTTTGCCTCCCTGCAGCTTCAGAAACCACTGCACCCTATTCCCACCATTTTTGATGAAGGGGCCTCTTGAAGATACTGAGTTCCTGCCTGTTTTGTGAAAATAGATATGTGAGGAAAGGAGAGATGTTCTGCAAGTGCCCCACAGTGGGAGCGGCCCTGGATGAGACCTTGAGAATTCCAGACAGGCTCCGTAGAGATGGGATGACCCTAGGAAACGAGCTCCCCTATTGATCAGATGACCAACTTAGCCCCACCACAAGCACGCTGGAGACCCTACAAGGCAGTGACGATGCTCTGAGACCACAAAGCAGCTGTAAGAGCCCCCTTCTCCTCCCTCTCCCCTCTCTGCTCCATGAATGCCTCTGATGCTGATGGTCGTCTTGCTGTCACCCCTCCCAACGCTGCCGGATGTGGGGGGATGATGGTGATGAGGGGTCAGGGGCCTGTGGGACAGGAATGTCCCTATTAGGGCACAGCTGCCTGTGCTTGGCAGCAGGAGGCTGGAGGGGGGCAGAAGAAAAGCCATGGCCAGAGGGGTGGCGGGATGATTTATGAGGAACACCCTCCCCCAGGACCCATTTTAGCACCCTCCCCCAGCCTCAAAGCCAGTTTGAATGTCACCCAGAGGCACTGCCCCCGTGGCCGCGCGGCCCCTTGGCTCCCTGCTATAAATAGCCTCCGCCTGCGCCCGGCCACTGTGAGAGCGAGCGGCAATTAAAGGCATCAGGGAGCAAAAGCGGTGGGACAGCCCCATCGCCCGCACCCCGGGGCGTCATGGGTCTGGCCAGCTCTCCCCATGCTGGCAGCACTCAGCCCTTCCCTCAAATCCTGGGGGGCAATGGTAGGCACCCTAGCAACCAGGGCTCAGGGACCTTGCTTGGGTGAAGGGGAGTGATGGAGAACATGGTTGTCTTCTCCCTTCCACCAAATACGTGTCTCCAGGCCTCTCCCGAAGCCCTCCAGAAGGACGTATTCTCCACATGGCTGCAACCTTCATCCCCCTGCGGCTACTGGCCTGTCGTCTTTAGGGGGAAATGCTTGCTGTGTGAGGCAGGAGGGGTGCTTGTGTTGTGCAGGAAACAGGCTATCTCACTGATCTTTCCTTGCTCTCTGCCAGTCTTTGAAATAAAGGTGAGGCTGCACAGTCAGGGCTTGTGCTTACAGGAGATACTGCCTGAATGGGGCAGAGCACTGGTCCGTATTTGCACATCCACTAATAAGGCATCGGAGCATTGGTCTGACTCATATGGCATCTCATCTCCTGGCTCAGGCCACAGCCATCCACGTCAGAGCACCTGAGAGCAGCTGGTATCCAATAATGCAAGGAGAGATGGACACCTCTGTGAGCTCCCTAGACATCTGCAAGCAGGTGGTGGCGGAAGACACTGTTTTCTGTTCCCCACTATGGGCATTTGCCTTTACTGGACAAAGGGATGGAGCCTGTGGGATCAGTATCTTTAGGAAACGTTGTCAATGTGTGCCTGCACCGAGGGACAGTTGTGTAGCGCTTCCTCAGAGTCAACATTTGAGGCTCTGGCTGCACTGTGACCAGAGGTTAAAACAGAAAGCCCAAGGGAAGAAGACGGTCCAATCATGTCCAGTCCAGCCCATACATGATCTGGCTACTTACTTACAGCTATGTTAGCCGTGTGCTGGGGCAAAGTCAAGGCTGTTTAAACCCAATAGTTCTTGACTCCTGCACACAGGAGGTTAGGGTTTCTTGGGAGTGTTTGAAGAAGCTCAGAAATGTGCAGAAAAGTTGCAACACCTGCTACAGACAAATGCTTGGGCACGAACGGGGATGTTTGCAAGAGAGGAGGCATCGATCAGGAGTAATGTATGTCAGCATGCAGTGTACGTGAGGTAGCTCTTCGGGGGGGTGTGGGTGCAGCTGTGAGTGTGGGAGCTTGCTGGGAAACAGTAAACGTGTCAAGAAAACGCGGGTGATGGGATGAAGGCCTCTTTGTGTGAGACTGTGGGAGTGTACACTTCGTTAGGGCTCGGGAGGCAAAAAGTGTCACAGTAATGCCGGCAGTGTGCCTGTTGGTGTGGCAGGGCTTCTGTGACTGTGCCTAGCGAGACTGTCTCTAGGAGACACGTACCATAGGTACGAGTGTTTGGCGATGTTTCTCTGAAGAGGCTCATCTTGAGAGAAGATGTGCAACACCGTGTGTATTTAGGAGAGTGTGTACGCACAGCATGTGCCTGCGGGGATGGAGCTGAGAGCTATGTGGGCAGCCTGCCTCCTTGCTGGGACTTTCACAGTAATGAGATAATGAGGTGAGCGGTACAGCTTGTGCTCACGCACGGAGCACTGGAGTCCTGCACCAGGGAAATCTTTATGCAACATGAGCCTCTCAGGAACTCTTTCCACTGTGGCAGTGCCCGGAGGCAGGAGACCTTTGCAGAGCGTCAATACCTCTGGTGGCTTTTTCAAGTGCCAGCTATGCAGGGGCTAGGCATTGCTCCTGCCCGTGCTTTCTCTGCTTTCCACTACAGCAGGTGAGTCTGACCAGCGCATAGGTGAAGATATATTCCCACAACTATATTTGAATCCCATAAGGCAGCAAAATACAGAATATGCCAGAGGCACAGCAGCTTGGCTAGTTGCCCCCTGCTCATTACAGTATCAAGCGTTTATATATCCCCTTACAGTATTTTCTGATTCCATAATGCTAGTGGGATTTGAATGCAGATAATGTTTCTAATCTTGACAATCCTTTTGGCTCAGGACCTTGGGACTGAGGCATCTGTAATGTAAGAACACAGCCCCTCCTCCTTTCCCCCTCCTCCTCCTCCCTTTAAATTCATATCACTTGAAGTCTTGGCCAGCCAGAGCCCTTGCCTTTGTGTCAGCCTCCATAGCAAGTAATTTAGCTTCAACAGCTGCATGGGGAGACGGAGGGCAGAAACTGCCCTGGAAGAACCGGACCTAACTGGTCATGCAGTCCCTGGGGTATAGCAAGACCTCTGGGTAGAAAAAGGTGGCTGAGAGCATGAACAAAGATCCCAGAAGCTTGTAAGCTCAGTCCCGTGCACATTTTGCAGCCTTCATATCACGTGCATGAAGACCTTGCAATGCATACTTTCTAGCCACAGGATCACAAGCTGTGTCCTGTGCAGCCTTGGGAAAAGGAGGTGTGAGTTTGGGAGCACTCCTCCTTTCTCCCACTTCCCTCAGGTAATAGCCATACTTGAATTTGGATAAGCGTGAGAGAGTGCATGGCCCTCTGGGATGTGTGAGAAGTGCCAGCCCAAACTGAAGCTCGAGTACCACCAAGTAAGCAAGCACCACCTCATCTTGGATGGTGTCAACACTCACAGGCAATCTGAATAATGGGGATGGAAAGAAGCACCTGCCTGCCAGAACATCTCAGCTTTACATCTACTGTACCTATGTGAACCTAGAAGTGATTCTGGGAAGTTTCAGGAGATTTAAGACCCACAGTGTCATTCTGAAATCCTAGGTTACAGAGCAGCAGAAGTGTCACCAGCTGCCTCACCACAGTCGTATTCCAGCTGCAGACAACGCTGATTGTGCCAAACTTTGCATTTGGTGTCAGTTTTGCTGCTAAATGGCAGACAAGATCCAGCAGAGAGGGTTACAAATGGGCATGGGAGTCTCAGCATGGTCATTTTTTCATTGTGGAGTGATGTTATGGCTTTGTGGCCTGGATTTTCTTCCCACTTCTCTAGTACCTGCCTCGAGCTCCCACAGGCAGTAAGGTTCATCTTCCCCAGCCGGTCAGGTTGGGAAACAAGGCACTGGAGACATGTGGGTCTCTGTGAAAGCCATCATGAGCAAACTTCTCTTAAGCATGGGGAGCTTTCTGTTTCCCTAGCTGGCAGCAGTGGAAGAGCAAAACTTAAGCAGTGCAAGGAGAAGAGCAACAGGAGATGACGAAGGAATGTCCCTCAAGCAATCTACACCTCTCTGTTGTTTCTCTCCTACTCTCTTTAAAGCTGCAGTTCATGTTGATGGTCAGAACCTGGTTGACGTAATGGCGATGATTTTACATAGCAAAATGTTAGGGGTTTATTTCCAGAAGCCGCAGGAGGAGATTGCAAAAATCTAGGGTATTTCCCCAAAAGCTTTGAATCCTTATGCAGGACTCATGCCTTCATGCTACGATTGGCTTCTCTGTTGTTGAAGCTGGTGAACAGTTTGTTGGAGAGCAGAGTAGAATATCTCTCCTTCCTAAAGCTGCGTGGTCTCCTCTAGCATCCCTTTGCATACCCCACCAGCAATATTTTGGGTTCTTGCATAATTCAGGCTGGTAAATTACAGGTCCTGAAGCATCA